GACATTTCATTTGGAACTCTTTAATGTATTTTCCTACCGTAAAATTTGTTCTAAATTTTTTTTTGGTTTTCTAAAATGCATTTGCCTGCGGGCGCCAGCACTCCCCTTCAATTTTTTTTTTAGGAATTTGACTAGTTGAATTTTTTGTATAGACTTGAATATTGATTACCTTCAGGTGCCCTCTGCATCATCATTCTTTAATGAGCTTATCATTGGCAATATTGTTTTTTCTGTTTCGGATTCTGGACATTTTAGTTTGAACTTTTTAATGTGTTTACTAATGTATAATTTGTTCTAAATTTTTTTTTGGTTTTCTAAAATGCATTTGCCTGCGGGCGCCAGCACTCCCCTTCAATTTTTTTTTTAGGAATTTGACTAGTTGAATTTTTTGTATAGACTTGAATATTGATTACCTTCAGGTGCCCTCTGCATCATCATTCTTTAATGAGCTTATCATTGGCAATATTGTTTTTTCTGTTTTGGATTCTGGAAATTTTAGATTGAACTCTTTAATGTGTTTACTAATGTATAATTTTTTCTAATTTTTTTTTTGTTTTCTAAAATGCATTTGCCTGCGGGCGCCAACACTTCCCTTCAATTTTTTTTTTAGGAATTTGACTAGTTGAATTTTGATAACCTGCAGGTGCCCTCTGTATTGAAATTCTTAAACGAGCTCTTTAATCATTGTGGATTGTTTTTTCTGTTTATAAATCTGAAGATTGTAGTTTGAACTCATTGATAGGTGTTCTGATTGTATAATTTTTTCGAATTTTTTTTTTGGTTTTCTAAAATGCATTTGCCTGCGGGCGCCAACACTCCCCTTCAATTTTTTTTTTAGAATTTGACTAGTTGAATTTTTATAACCTGCAGGTGCCCTCTGTATTGAAATTCTTAAACCGTAAAATTTGTTCTAAATTTTTTTTGGTTTTCTAAAATGCATTTGCCTGCGGGCGCCAGCACTCCCCTTCAATTTTTTTTTTAGGAATTTGACTAGTTGAATTTTTTGTATAGACTTGAATATTGATTACCTTCAGGTGCCCTCTGCATCATCATTCTTTAATGAGCTTATCATTGGCAATATTGTTTTTTCTGTTTTGGATTCTGGAAATTTTAGATTGAACTCTTTAATGTGTTTACTAATGTATAATTTTTTCTAATTTTTTTTTTTGTTTTCTAAAATGCATTTGCCTGCGGGCGCCAACACTCCCCTTCAATTTTTTTTTTAGGAATTTGACTAGTTGAATTTTGATAACCTGCAGGTGCCCTCTGTATTGAAATTCTTAAACGAGCTCTTTAATCATTGTGGATTGTTTTTTCTGTTTATGAATTTGAAGATTGTAGTTTGAACTCATTGATATGTGTTCTGATTGTATAATTTTTTCTAAATTGCTTTTTGGTTTTCTAAAATGCAATTGCCTGCGGGCGCCAACACTCCCCTTCAATTTTTTTTTTAGGAATTTGACTCTAGTTAATCGTTTTTATTGTAATTAAAACAATTGTTATATAGATGAAAAAATAACTAAGTATATTACATTTTAATGATTTTGTTTATTAATATTTTACATAACAGATTTATTTATAAAAATAATAATCATAATAGGTATACATATTTTAAAAATGTATTAATAGAATGTCACCTCGTTAAACAACAAAAGACCATCAATCAGCATAAACCTTATGGGTGTTCTATGTTTCATATAGGTACTCTATTTTTTCAACATTTTTTTTTTGTTTTCTAAAATGCATTTGCCTGAGGGCACCCAAAACCCCCTGCCATTTTTTTCAATTTATTATAACTCTAATTGATTTTTATTTTTAAGATTTTTTAAACATTGATATGCAGGTGGACTCTGAATAATCATTCAGTAATGAACTAATTATTGTGAATAGTGCTTTTTGATTAATGATCTGTAGATTGTAGTTTGCATTCTTTAGTGTTGTTTCTCCAAACTCTCATAAAAATCTATTTTGAATTTCTTAGATATTTTTTTTTGTTGATAAAGGTAGATAACCTTATAAGGAATCTTGTATTACACTTTAAAAGCTTAGATTTAAAAAGAAAATTTTTTTAGGAATTTCCAACTTTAAATAATTTGCAAATTTTCGTAGTTTTTACTCCTTTTGTCAAAATTTTAATTTTATAATACCTTATGCAACAAATGATGACTATGTATATTTAATATTTAATTTTGACTATATAATTTATTACGTTTTATTTAACTATTATATTTTTAAATATTTTAAAGTAAACACATTGAAGGGGATTGGAAGCGGTGATTTTCTGTCTTTGTCTAACACACGTGCAACATAGGATTATAGACGTGTTCTATTTCCAACGTACCGATTAATCTAGTGAAGTGATACGAATTCTGTAAGCAGATTCGAATTTGTCGTCAAGTCTACTTGAGATCGACTTCCCCACATTCAAATCTGTTTTCAGAATTCTTATCACTTCACTAGATTAATCGGTACGTTGGAAATAGAACACGTCTATAATCCTATGTTGCACATTTGCACGTGTGTTAGATAAAGACAAAAAATCGCCGCTTCCAATCCCCTTAAAACTAAGGAACATTGACTTATAAATGGTACATTAATTCAGAACTTCTCACAGGGGCCAATATTAACTTTGTTGTAACATGCTCAACTCGTACAAGTGTAAATTCCCCCATGTGTTTGTTTGAAATTATTTAGGGGTAGGCATGTGGGCGTTAACTTATTTTACCTCGTCCGTCCGAGTATTTTTAAACTACTAATGTACATTTTCTGTAAATAATTTATAAATTAAACAAAATACCTTTAATACTAAGAAATATGACAAAGCTATAATGATCAGAATTCCTTCAATAGGTTAAATATTTACTTAACTGCAGTTCATATTGCGTGCATGGTCCCAATATATCTATCATAAATAATAAAATAGCTGTATACTTTGTTCATTGTTCACAGAATGAGGGAACTAATAATAAAAATACTGTTTCTAATTCTTATATTTATATTTAAAAAAGGTAGGCAAGTGGGTACCGCTCTGTTGTACCCACTATACAGGGTGTACCTAAAGATATGAATGTAAAAACTATATCTTAAAACCAAATGTATGTGTGTAGCTTATATACTTAGAAACTACTCAATTAAATTTTACGAAAATATCAGAGTTTGTTTTAGAGATGTCAGAAAAGTTTAGTGAGTATAAGTTGTTTAAACACTTTAAACCACGTTAAAAATATTCCAAGTGCTAAATTCAATCCACGACTTTCGGTTGCCAATCAAGGTCAAAGTTTTTCACAAAAGCTATAGGTACTCAGACTCTGATTTGTCCGTGAATTGAGGTACACTAAAACTAATATACACTCAAACTGAGATAGCCAGATAGGTACACCTATTATATAGCGTATATATACTATATAATATTGGTATATTATGTAATATGTATACTATATAGTATTTGTAAAAAAAACTGCACACGGATGAATCCGGAATATTCAGGTAGTATTTGTGTAAAAATAAAACTGTGTTTATTATGTATTTTATGGACATTTTTTTCCCGACGCTATTTGAAACTAATGAGATTTTTGTACTTTTAAGTTTTCACCCACCATAATACTAACTAGATTCACTTTCCTACTAGAAAAGATGCTGAAGTAGAAAATCAAAGCATTTTTACTTTTCCAAAATGTAATGACATACCCAAAAAATTTAAAATTAAAAAAACCCACATCTGCATCGCTCAGCTCATAATTTAATATATACCTATAATCTATATATTAGTATTTAAATCATAATAATTATCCATTTAATAATATTTGATCAAGAAAAAGTTGCATTATTCTTTGGAACATGTAAACATTAATAATAATAACTAATAAGTATTTATTAAGTAAGAAAAAATTAAATAGTTTAATATATTTCATAACTTCTTACTTAAAAGAGACATATTAGCGCTTGGCGCTTATAGTGTACCTGTATCATGATCGTATTTACATAAACATTTTATTTGTATTTTTTTGATCGAAACTGTAGATAAATGTTCATTTAATCCATTAAGTTACCTACTATCAGTTTAGATTTATTAGAGCTATTTCGTTCATATGGACTATTCTGGTTTATTTGATCCAAAACAATACAAAATATGCTCAACATTGCCACAAAATTTAAACCATCATGGTTAAAAAGATAAATCATTTCTATAAATTCTATGGGTTAAAATTGCAAAAATTAAACTAAAATCTTATAATACATAATTCATTGGAAAAAATATTACATTTTTGAAGTTATTGATTTCGAGAAAAATTAATTCTAAGTATCTAACTAGGTACTAAGTTTAGTAAGTAGAATAATTTTAAAATTAAATCATCGAAATATTATATAAATAAAATATCGTTGAAAATGATAGTATTATTGATAAATTGCATAAAAACATGTATGGATAGTGTAAGTTGACTTAAATGGAAAAATAAAATATGTGGTCGCAGTAATTTGATTTTAAATGTGAATCGGTTATGCGGTCACATACAATTATAATGAAGGTTATATTTTACTAAAACAAACCAACAAATATTTATTCTTTGTGTAAACATTGAACTTATAAAGTGCACTTTTACATCTATTATGTATATAATATATCCTAAGTAAAGACGGCATAAAAAGAAAGTTATGAATAATTAGTATCAGTGACCAATGACATGCATAGATACCTATTTTGTGGATCCGTAGTTTCATTTATAAGTATGCATTTAATGAAAACGGTAGGTAAGTAAAACATTATATTTGAAATTATGTTTTTTAAATAAATATCTGTTATGGGTACCTACCTAATAAAATTTATTTGACAATTTTTAGAAAATTGTATTCCAATTCTTTAGTAACTTTCACAACGTACAATAATTGAAATTTATTATATGTTTATGTAAGTAGAGGCATTCAATACTTATTATCTATTAAAATATTAAATACATTTATGAAATTATTTTCAGATAAATCGCATCTATAAGAATACCAAGATGAGCTCATTTGAAGTTCATGACGTGGCTATCAACATAGAATTATATAAATTGTTACGTTTTTATCACGTATTCGATCCAAGTAACTCAAAGATTTTCGGTTTTAATGTTTATCGTTTTACTGGAATCTTAATAACCGTATTTATCCAATCATGCGTATTATTTGGACTGTTGGGTTGTTTTATGGAGATGGAAGATTCATTAGATTACATAGAATTATTTGTATTCATATTTGTCAATTCAAGTAATTTTCTCTCTGTAATGAAAATATGCGTATTCATATATAAAGCAAATGACACTTGGGATTTATTTGAGGTAACTCGCATACAATTTCTGAAAAGTGAACCATGCCGTAAATATAGAGATGACATTTTAGAAAAAGTTCGTAACAAATCAATAAAACTTACTAATTTCATTTTTGGGTTTGCATCCATGACGTGTATTATATGGATGATATATCCACTTGTTGTAAATTTCTTTATGCTTGCCACTGATCAAATCAATAATCAGCGTTATCAAAATATTTTCAACATGCGGTACCCTGTGACTATAAATACTTACAATCAATATTATTTTGTTTTTTACGCAATCGAAGTGATATTGGCAGCTTTTATTTTATATAATTCGATACTAATAGATACTTTTTTAGTATCTTTTTGTTGGGTTATAATAGCTCAGTATGAAATACTTACGGAGGCATTTGGAAACATCGGGTACGAGGACAAATTCCAAAACCGTAAGTTTGTACTTTGTATTAAACATTTCTACCTTCAGTATTTATCCCTTTATTATACGAAAATATGTATGTGCTTACAATAATGCAACCACACACACACACACACACACACACACACAAATATTTCTTTAGGTATAGCAGGTGTATTATTTATATCGGTGACCTGGAGTGCGTATTAATATTATAATATGCTCTCGACCCATCCAGAATCGTTTATTGAATTTTAAGAATATTTTGACTATTTTAAAATGTATTATACGATTATTCGATACTAGAAAACTAGACTCTTTAACGGTCGTCATATTTATTTTTTATTTTTTAGAGGATAAAGATTGTTCCATTAAAGCATATAATGATTTAAAGTCATTATTAAGTGAGCAAAGAAGACTTAATTTGTAAGTATTTATATTTATTTTACAATTAATTGTTTTGTTTTTGTTCTTTATTGAATTACAGTGTAATTTTTGTAATTATGAAGTAGGTACCTTGAGTTTTAACAATATTATATTAATTATTTTAATATTCAATGTTATGTCACTAAAAATAATAATAATGTTAATTTATTTGATATCTACTGATACGTAGCTACATAAATATGTGTTTTTTGTTTACAGAAAATTAAAACTATATTATTCTATAGTATGGTATATAGTCTTAACATATGTTGTACTGTCTTCGTGCTCAATTATAACATTGACATATTCTTTCATTATGGTAGTACATATTTATTTTTTGACAAATATTAATTCTAAAATTCATTATAAATCTATTACTAAGTTACAATATTTCATAATATATTATTTCTTTATATTCAGACATGTATGTTGACCACCAAATCGTTACCAGTTCTCAGCATAATTAAAATAATAGCACCGTTTACAATAGTTTCATTTCAATTATTTTTACATTGCTATTTTTTTGGACTTATAAACTCTAAGGTAATTTACTAAAATCAACACAAGCATAAGAACAATAAGTGATATATCATATTTTTTAAATATAGAAAGCATCTGTCAGCTACGGAATGTATTCTAGTAATTGGACATCGATAGATTTAAAATTTCAAAAGTCATTACTACTATCAATGCGGATGAATGATGCTGACAATTTAATGATTAAAGCTACACCAACAAAAATTGTCAATTTAGAACTGTTTGTTGGGGTAGGTAATCATTGACTGATTTTAGAGGTTTTATAAATAATTACCAAAATAAAAAAAAAATGTTATTACGATATAATAGATAAACATTAAAAAAAAAATGTATTTAATTATTATTAGAATTTAAGGATAAAATATATTGATTTGACATATGAACATAAAATGTCTAAAGGTTTTAAAATAATACGATATCATAGTGATTCGGATCATATTATATCTATAGTATAAAAGTTAAAGGACACAAATCAATGGCATGGATTGGATAGATACTAAATTTATATTTATATTTATGCAGTAGGTAACACAAATCAGTGGTACTGTGCATAGGTATTGGGAGACCACTACTTTGACTAAATGTATTAAGACATATTTAAAATTATAAACAGTAATATTGTAAAATATTTTAATTTCAGGTGATGATCACAACTTACAACATTGTATCCGTAATGCTGAATACATTTAAATCGAAAATATGATTTACAAAAAAATAATAATAATAAAAACTAGCACTTATGAAGTCTTAGAGCAATTTATTGTAGTCATTGTTGACTATACTATTGTTGTCTACTTTTTCTTAATTGGAAATATTAGACTTCATTTTAAACTATACTCACTATTCAACGCTAATAACAATTGCTTCTTAGTTTGCAAGAAAACTTTCAAGTACCTACTTATAAACAATTATACCTACTAAATATTTTTTATTTATAGTTTACAGTAAATTGTATGTTATTTTTTTGTTTAGATTAAATATTAATTTCTAATTTCACACATAAGTTGATTGTAGTATTGATAAGTCTTTTATTAATTATTATAAATTAACATCTATGCATATAGGTACCTGCTTATACAAGCAATTATATACTTACAATTTATAAATGTATGAATATAACATAATTTTCACAATTAATTTTTTTTTTTGTCAAGTGATGTACACTCATGTGTAGATTTTTACTTCAAATATACATATAAACTTCATTCTATCATCAAATATAATTATTGACTATTGTGCTAAAGCATAAGGATTGTGAGATTGTGTACCTATATCTTAATGTAAAATAAAAAAGGTGGCTAAGTAGATGTCGCTCTGCTGTACAGTAGGTTACAGTGGGTCATTGTATAATGTATGCTATTAAATTTGAATTCAATGATATAATATCATTGTATAAGAAAAACGATTCTGAGCGAAGACGGTATGTCAGTCTAGGTTTAAGACAAATTATATACATATCTATGGTATTAAAAAAAAATTGACCTATAATAAATTCCAAATTAATCATATCACATTATCACAATATCCATTAGGTAGTACTTATAACACGTTATACATCAACATCAATAATAAACCCTGATACTATCATAGATATATAATAGTACACTTTAGAAGTTTCAAGTAGGTACCCACGAATAATATTATATAATCACAACAAAATAACTAGGTTTTTTAATATGTAATTTCGTCCAAATTTGAATTAAAATGTCAGTAAAAAATAACTGTGTTCATATATTTTTTAAATTTTTTGGTTACAGTATGAACTATTTATGAGAACCTTTGTTTTAAATTTGCAATCCTTAGTTATAAAAACTGAACATTTTATAATTTATTAATTACAATGATTGATAATTTTCGAGATTTTGATAAATTTTGTCAAAATTCGATCTTTAAATGCTTATAAAAAAAACTGTGCCTATATATTTTTAATATTTTTCAACTGATATTGTAACAATATACCAGGAGCCTTGTATTAAATTTTTACACTTTTCGGCCCAACAGATAAAACTTTATTGATATTCATAGAAAAAAAACTAAAAAAATTTAAAAATGAAAATATCCTTAAACAGCTCAAAAAGAGTCAAAATATTTTAAAAATTGTATGGTATATAGGAAATGCTAATTTAAACATTCAGTGAAATTTTCATGTATCTACAGTTATTCGTTTTTGAATTACAACAAAATAAGGAAATCGCTACATGAGAAATCGAGTGAATATAAAATGTTGTAAAAATTTGAATTTCAAACGCTCATAAAAATTTAATTTGACTTTCTTATGGACATTTTTTTTTGATAAAGGTAGATAATCTTATAAGAAATCTTGTATTACATTTCAAATCCTTAGATTTAAAAAGAAAAATTTTTACGAATTCTTAACTCAAAATAATTTGCTAATTTTCGTGATTTTTCCATATTTTGTCAATTTTTGAACTTTAAATGCTTATAAAAAAAAACTGTGACTAACGATTTTTAATATTTTACATCTGCCTTTGAAACAATATACTAGGAGCCTTCTATTAAATTTTCAATTTTTTTTAACGAACAAATAAAATTTTATTGATATTTCTAGAAAAAATACTAAAAAAAATGAAAAATGAAAATGTCACTAAACAGTTCAAAATAAATCAAAATATTTTGAAAATGTTATCGTGTATAAAAAATGCAAATATAAACAACCAGTGAAAATTGCATGTATCTACGGTCATTTGTTTTAAAGTTACACCAAAAACCAAATTCAATTTTCTGAAAAATCGATTTTGCGTAAAAATTCCCGTTTTCCTTAATTTTCTTTTGTTTTTCTTGAAAAGTACTGGGAATTTTAAATTTTGACCTCCCCAATGCACCAACGATATTCACTTTCCAATCTAACAAGATACTGAAGTCGAAAATCGAAGCATTATTTCGACTACGTATCGTGTACACAGACACAAAAAAAATAAAAAAATAAAAAAATAAATAAAAAAAAATAAAAAAATAAATAAACACACATCATTGTAAAATCAATACATTCATCGTTTCACTCAGAATCTAAAAGTTTATTTACAGCGTTAAAATCTACCTATTTGTAGAAGAATTTTATTATTTGATACTTCGTATACGGTATACCTACCTACTATTAGTTATTACCTATATTATAAGATGCTATTATGTAGGTATTAATTATTAATACGAAGTTAATTCGAATGTTAAAAAAGGTAGAAACGTTTAAAACAATATTCGTAAAGGTATTAGGTAGGTATGTAATATGTATACAATATACATATATTATTATACCGCCATACACCATGGTTGTTTGATTAAGAACCATTTTTTATGTTTGTATTGATGTGTTAAAAACGTAAAACGTCATAAGTTAAAATACTTGTGTAGATTCGTGTCTGAAACCGCAATGAAATACATGTACCTAAAATTTAGATTATATTATACCGTCACGAAATGTATTTTTTTCCCTTTTAACCTTACCATACCAGGCGTGGTATCCAGGGCTGGATTGGTATGTATCGGCCCATCGAGATTTTCACTTTTATATAAGCAGCCCATTTGAATATTCAGTGGCCCAAAATTACGTCCATAATTATAACAAGCTTGTAGGTGGCCAATCATATTTTAAACATGAATTTATTTTCACTCACACTCATACGACCGGCCCAAACCGGAAAAAAATTTCAAAAAAATTTGAAAGCTTATAAAATACTCGGAATAAACCAAATAATAGACGAGAGAAAAAATATAACAAAACTAGAAATATTTTTAGAAGCGAAAAAAGGTAGGTAACAATTAATAATACATTGCGTAAGGTTCGGATTTTATACACAATATTATTAAATACCTTCTTCACTATTGCATGTAATCCTTTTCAACATCAATTATCCACGATGCCGATGATTATTGCGTAGAAACATTTTTTCATAATATGGAACCAGCTGCACGGCTTGAACGAATGTTCTTAATCCGGGCTTGGGTCCAGGTTTTCCAGGACTCACTAACCAGGACTATACTTTATATATTTTATCTTGACTTTGCACGAGTGTTATTAATTCTGTAATTCGTAATTGTACGATATATTTTATGATCTTTATATACTCGCACAGTTGCACCGATGCCAAATCCATTTTGTCTGCTATAGTCTATAGATGTTAAAGTGGAAGAGGAATAATGTATAATATATTAGAATATACATAATTTATGGGAATATAATATTATATATCATTTATTCCACTTATTACTAAATACATTTATTTATTATTTTTATTTTCGTTTAAAAGTATATATTATGTACTTACCTATTTATATTATTACATGACAATAAATAATAACTGTTTCTTATAGAGTACGTGAAGATTAAGTCAATGGAGTTTGGTGGTTATCCAGTTTTTAAAAGTTCAACTGTGATCGAATGCATTTTGATGGTCTCTTATTTGGACACGTTAATTATTAAAAAAATATTCCATAAACGATGTAAATTAATTATCCACTCACTAATAACTAACAATTATTAATAATTATACGTTTAAAAATCAGTTTAAACTTGCAAGATATATTTCGACTAAAAATGAGCACTTCACGTCAACGTGATTTGATAGGCGCGTACTTAAGACTAACAATATTGTAATAAAATATCTCTTAAACACGCTTCTAAAATATGTAAGAAATAATCATTATAATTATTGTGTAAAACAAGTTTGTTGAATTGAAATCTATATACTTCATTCATCTAAACCATGTGATATGATTCCAATAGCGCTAAGACCGGTATAGGTATCGTTTTGCTCGCGTAGGTTTTTATTCAACAAAACTATTTGTTAAATTACGATTCAATTGTACCTATCTGCTACATATTATTACTAGCTGGCTATACAAGCTAACTATACCTACTGGCCACAATAGAAGCTATAAAAATAACACTACCTAATATCGTTTATTTATTTTTGTAAACAAGTCATTATATGAAAATATCCATTATTAAGTGTTTAGCTCCACAGCAAAGTTCGTAATTTTCTGTACTTACGACGTTCGTCTGTTGCAAAACCTTAAAGAGATGGAAGCCCACTTGGAAGTTTCAACATGCCATCAATGTGCCAGCGAGGGTCATCGATGTGTTTTCGACACACTCGATCTGGCAGTCGATAGGCGGATCAAGGCTGTTTGTTTCCAATTGAGGCACAGACATTTTGGTGAGAGTTTCCGATCCTCACCCGAGCTCAATATTGACTCACCAGTGTACTCGCGCCCAGACCTGAGAAGTCTACAGTCACCCGTGTTGAAAGATGGAGTGAATACCGTGGTGGTTGCCGCCGCATCGACGTCGACGGGTTTTCCGGATTTTCCCGTGACTGCCGAGACCAAAGCCGACAGTCTGGAAACGCAGTCATCTGTCTACGACGGAGTTCAGAATACCGTCCCTACGGAACTAGTGGAAATCCTGGCACGGTCTGAACACCGAAAATCCCAGTCCACCTGCAGCGAGAGTAGGTGCGTTGTCGACACGCTCAATCTCGCAGTTGACCGCAGGATCACGGGCGTCGGTCTTCCGTTGCGGCGAAGTCAAGATGATAGTTTCCGGTCCTCACCCGAGCTCACACTTGACTCGCCCATGTACTCAGACCTGAGAAGTCTGCAGTCACCCGTGTTGAAAGATGGAGTGAATACCGTGGTGGTTGCCGCCGCATCGACGTCGACGGGTTTTCCGGATTTTCCCGTGAC